AAGGGGAAGGGAAAGAGAAAGGGAAAGGGAAGAGGAGAGGGGCAGAAGGGAAGAAGAGAAGGGAAAGAGTCCAAAGCTTGGCCTGAGTGGTATTGCAACATAGAAAGGCTTCAGGTATGTTGTTATGTGCACAAGGAGGAGTTCGTGCAGCAGTAAATGATGTTCTTGTGTTCATGTAGATCAGAGGGGTAGAATTGAAGCAGCTATAGATAAGATATGGCACCAAACTGAAATACTGCTCAACGTAAGACAATGTGAGCTGAAACCAACGTGACTTCCTGGCTTCCCAAATTGCAGTGGCTAAAGAAGTTATTTGTGGGGATGGTGTGTGCAATCGCTGTACGTATGTGTCCTTCCTTGTAGTGTAATTGGATGTTGGAGATGTGTCTCTAAGCAAGAAAGGTCGAAGGTGGTGAGTTTTAGGATGTGAACATCATAATCCTCGAAGGAAAAGCAGGGACTGATGTGGGCTGCTCTGTCCAGCAGCAGGGCTTAGCACATTAGTTTAAGAACCAATGTATGAATTTAGCAAAAAGAACCCACGAGTGATAGTTCTCAAACTTTCGTTTCAGCTTTAGTGGGAGAGCAGCCTCGTTCCTCCTCAAGAGTTTTGTGTGGGCACACAAAGGAATACTTGTACCTTCTGCCTCAATGATTGTGCCTCACAAGCTTCTCACCACTTCTGCTTTTGTCTTCTCTGTATCCGCTAATACCTCTTTTGCTTTTCTCCTTGTCTGCTTGTTACCTCCATCCTTTTTCTTCTTCTGTGCGCTTCTTTCTTTCTTGTCTGTTCTCCTTCTACTCTTATCCTTCTCATCGTCTCTTGCCTTTATTCTCTCCACTCCTGCTCATCTCTTTTGCTGTCTTGCCTGTATCCTATCGTGCTTTTCATCTTCTGCTCTTCTTCCTTACCTGTATCCTTAATTTGATCCTCTTTTCTGCTCTTTTTCACTTCTTCTCAGTGTCCAACGTCTGCATCACACCTCTGTCCGAATTAGTTTTGGGGTGGAAAAAGGTACCAAGGTAGATAGATTTGTACAAGAGAACCTCTTACACTCTGCCTGAAAGGTGATCCAAAGGAGCCCTCAGGAACCAAGACCACAAAGGAGCTGCTTTCGAATGGAGAATTTTCCAGAGTTCCTTCCAGTCGTTGCTTGGAGGAAGTGAGGTTTTTATCCTTGTATCTCTGCAGAAAGGCAGGGCGGAGGCAACGTTTATGGTGAGGTGCTCAGGTGAAATTGCCCTCCTTGCACAAACAGCCTGTTTGTGTGCATGTGATGCACGGTGGAGAGAAGCCTGCTGTTCTGTGAGTAAGCCTGCTAAAAGGAAGTAATGGTTCTGGCCTTTTTGGCAAGTCTCTTCGGTGAGATCTTTGGACAGGCTGGTTGATTTGCAGAGGAAATGCCATTTCAGTTGTTTGTTGCCACGCTTGGTTGGTGCTTGTATGAACAATATGTATCATCTAGACAAGCAGTGCTCTAGCACCAGGGAAGGGAAAAACCTCATGTACATCCAGTCTTCTCCGTGAGCCTTGTGTTATCTTTTCACAGAGTCTCGAAATGCCTGTGGAAATTACGGGGGGGGGGGACAGTAGGGGGGCGGGTGGGGGATGGGGAAGAGATGAGGGGCAATTTGTGTGCATCCTGTGCCCATGGAGCAGATATCACCTACTAAGATCTTGGTGCCCTTCATGGCATCGTGGACTTGTTTTCTTTCCTTGTTTGAGCATGATGGTTCTGCAGGTGCATTTTAAGTAACTGTGACCTCTGCTGAGACGACAGGTGTCCTAGAGAGAGCCCCGCTGCACCCTTTTTGTTCAGGCTGTTCTATTCTCTCCTGGGATTAAAAGGGACTTGAAAAACCCAGAGGTACAACTTGTACTTTCAGGCTGCTGTCCCAGCCTGTCAAGTGGGGATCATGCAGTGTGACCACCATTGGGGCAGGAGGGAAGTAGCTAAGAAATTCATCTGCCTACATGAAGTAGCATGTCTTGAAAATGGTCATAGCCATGATATAATTAGCAAGGTCATGGAATCCTAGAATCACCAAGGTTGGAAAAGACCTACAAAATCATCCAGTCCAACCGTCCACCTGTCGCCAACAGTTCTCACTAATCTGTGTCCCTCAACACGATGGCCTAAATGTTCTTTGAACACCTCCAGGGTGGGTGACTGCACCACCTCCCTAGGCAGCCCATTGCAGTACCAGCCACTCTTTTGGAGAAGCAGTCTTTCCTAACGTCCAGCCTGAATCTCCCCTGGTGCAACTTCCCTTGAATCGTATCGCGAGTTACATGAGAGAGAGTTAGCAGTGAAAGTGCCTGATGTGTGTGGGACAGCCCTGACTTGGCTAACGGTGCTGCAGGAGTGGAACAGTGTTCACGTAGACGGCGGGGAGCTTGTTCTTGTGAAATGGTCCCTTGTGCTCCAAGAATCTCTCTGACTTTCTGTCATGGACTCTTCCTCCTTGTTTTCAGGGTGTACAGAGGCATTGCTAATGAAGAACAGACCTCTTCCTAGGCCATAGAAAGGAAGGTGCTTGCAAAGCAAAGGCAGGCAGTTGCATGCAAAGCTAACGCAGCTGTGGGCTTGGTTAGCAAAGGGAAGCATGTGAATGCTTCCAAAGCAAAGGCAGATAGAGGCATGTAATGCATAGGCAGGTGGGTGCTTGAGAAGCCGTATCAGGTAGAGCTGAAGATGCTTGAGCTGTGTGAGAGCTTTGAGAGTGGGATGGAGAGCTCATGGCCAAGAAGAAGCCTGCGGTCCTAGCTGCCCGGGGAGAGGGTGAGATTGCTCAAGGGAGGGAGGATTCTTTGAGTTATCTGAGGGGTCTAGAAAGGGAGCTGAAAGGTTTGGGGCTCCCTTGCTGTGCTCTGCCCAGGCTGTGACAGTGCTGGGGTTTGTTTTGGAGTCACTCTGAAAACAAAATGAGGCAAGGGGGTTTCAGTGCAGTCTGAAGCCCTGCAACTCTGCTGTCGGGGCTGCAGCCCAGGGTAGGTGCCCTGTCCCCACAGCTGCTGACCACGTTCTTTCCTTCTCTGCAGTGACCACGGCCAGCCCCACGAAGACGCTTCATGTCATGTCAGACACCCAGCTGTCTGCTGCACGGACCATGTCTGTGATGGGTGAGGCTACCTCAGTCACTCTCAAACTGCCAGGCATCCAACCTTCCTGCTCCGCCAGCTCTCCTGCTAGCCCTGCCACCTTTGCTACCTCCCCATGTTGTGTTGTGTCATGGTGATCTGTGGTGCTGGGGCAGGCCTGGGCTCCCCTCCCTGATAGCAGGCCTGTTTCTGAAATCCCTGCTCATTTCCTCGTCCTGCTGGCTCATTCTATTTACAGGTTTGTGTCCTTTACGTTTCTTGGGTAATTTAGGACTGGTTTAAAGCAGCTGTCTTTGCTATTGCCTTTGTCTGCAGTTACCCTTGTGGGTCATGTTGATGGGATACCCTTTTGGGTTAGGTTTAAAGGTCAAGAGTTACCTTTTTATGGAAGGATGGGAAAGTGCCCAAGGAATGTTGACATCCCATGTGTTGGTGCCCCATGCCCGCTCCATGCCCGTGCCCCACGCACTTCTGAACGGGCAGCTCAGCTTTTGTGTCATTCAGCCACCTGTGGCAGAGCAGACCAGGCTTTCTGCAGGCGTAGGCAATCATCCCGTCACTTTCTGCCTTATAAGGAGTAGAAAACCTTTTCATTTTGGAGTCCTACTTACTGGAGCTTAACCATCTCCAGTGAAGCAGATGCCATTTTTCTTGTATCTTTCAATTCTGAGTCCATGTTCTCCCAGAAGCAAAGGAGTTTGGAGGTAACCACAAACAGTTAAGTGAGTGATTTCAGTATTTATTTCTGATCGTGACAGTTACTTCAGTTTAGAGGTCACAATTAATGTACTGTGCCTGTTTTAATTCTGACCAAGGTTGTAGTTGTAGCTGACTTCCCAAGGCTGCAATACATGGTGGTGACACAGCCGTGGGCTTCTGCACTGGCATTAATCCCACGTTTCCTTTCTGTGCCTTGCAGGTCAGCTTGTGCTGGAAGTGGACGGCATCAGAGTGTGAGTGAAGGTCAATGCAGGAGCAGCTGTTACAGAATCACAGAATTGTGGGGGTTGGAAGGGACCTTCAGAGATCATCGAGTCCAACCCCCTGCCAAGGTTCCCTACAGCAGGTCTCACAAGTCGGCATCCAGGCAGGTCTTGAACATCTCCAGGGAAGGAGACTCCCCCACCTCCCTGGGCAGCCTGTTCCAGTGCTCCGTCACCTCACTGTACAGAAGTTCCTTCGCACATTGGTGCGGAACTTCCTGTGCTGCAGTTTCCAGCCATTTCCCCTTGTCCTGTCTCCACTCACCACTGAAAAGAGTCTGTCCTCGCCATTCTTCCCCCCACACCTGAGATACTGATTGGACCTGGATCAGGTCCCCTCTCAGCCTTCTTTTCTCAAGGCTGAACAGACCCAGTTCACTCAGCCTTTCCTCATAGCAGAGATGCTCCAGTACCCTCACCATCTTTGTGGCTCTCTGCTGGACTCTTTCCAAGAGGTCCCTGTCTGTTTTGTACTGGGGAGCCCAGAACTGGACGCAGTGCTCCTGATGAGGCCTTACCAGGGCAGAGCAGAGGGGGAGGATCACCTCCCTCCACCTGCTGGCCACGCTCTTTTTAATGCACGCCAGGATGCCATTGGCCCTCTTGGCCACAAGGGCACACTGCTGGCTCATGGCAACCTGTCATCCACCAGGACACCCAGGTCCCTCTCCGCAGAGCTCCCCTCCAGCAGCTCATCCCCCAACCTGTACTGGTGCATGCAATTATTCCTCCCCAAATGCAAGACTCTACACTTGCTTCTGTTGAACCTCATCCGGTTTTTCTTTGCCCCGCTCTCCAGCCTGTCCAGCTCTCGCTGAATGGCAGCACGGCCTTCAGGCGTGTCAGCCAATCCTCCCAACTTCGTATCATCAGCAAATTTGCTGAGGGTGGCCACCATCTCCTCATCAAGGTCATTGATGAAGATATTGAACAAGACCCAGCACCAACCCCTGAGGAACACCACTGGTTACAGGCCTCCAGCCAGACTCTGCACCACCAACGACGACCCTCTGCGCTCTGCCAGTCAGCCAGTTCTCAACCCACCTCACTGTCCACTCATCTATCCCACACTTCCTCAACTTTGTTGTAAGGATGTCATGGGGGACAGTATCAAATGCCTTGCTGAAATCAAGGTAGACTACATCCACTGCTCTCCCCCCATCCACCCAGCCAGAGACATCATAGAAGACTACCAGGTTGGTCAAGCACGACCTCCCCCTGGTGAACCCGTGCTGACTACTCTTGATAACCTCCTTTTCTTCCAGTTGTCTGGAGATGGCATCCAGCAGAGCTGTTCCATCACCTCTCCAGGGACAGAGGTGAGGCTGACTGGCCTATAATTGCCTGGCTCTTCCTTCTTGCCCTTTTTGAAGACCGGAGTGACATTCTCCAAAAGGAGATTTTTGGGATTGAGGCAGTTGAAGAAAGAGTGAAGCCAGGGGGCAGTCCCTGTGGAGAGGACCTCAGGAACTGAGCTTCTCCACCACTGTCTCAGCAAGGAGACAGACGCAGTTCCCATTCCTGCTCTGCATGTGGAAAGGTATGGCTGGGTTTCTTTGTTTGGGCTTTCTTCCTTTCTCTCACTTTGAAGGGGAAAAGTTGGAGCAGGGGGAGCCTTACTGATCCTTTGTTACTTGCGTAACTGGTTGGATTCTGCATGTGCTGCAACAGGACAGCAGAGCCAGGCTCCTTAACCTGCTGGGGCAGGGTGGGAGCCGAGAATGGGCACTGCCCTCCTGCCAGCTGCACCTGGTTATGGTTTGCCAGGCCCCTGCTGCCCTGGATTTCGCCTGAGAGGTTTGTTCTAGCTGCCTGCAGTAGTAAAAGATAGGGAAGAAATGGAAGTCAAGAGCTAAGGCTCTACACGGTAACTTTGCATGGATTGAACTGTGGCACCTGAAGACACAGGTCCATTCCTGAATAATGCTGGCATTTTGCAGGTGTATTGGTTTAACCCCTGAACTGATGTCTGTGAGCACCTGTCTTTTCCACCTGAACTGTAAGAAAGCTGGATGTGACCAGAAATTGCAGCAGTTGCTGTGAATACTCTCCCAAATGTTTGTTTCTTTTAGTGATAACTAATGGCTCAGCACTGTGATCTCATGTCTCTGGCACTATTGGAATGCTGCATCTCTTTGCAGATGTTGGGTGCCTGTTTCTATGGACTCATGAGCACTCACAGAGGTCACAACTGCTGCAGGGGTGGGAGTGTACCACAGCTGGTATTTCCAGAGAGGCTCTAAATGCCTGTAGAAATCACAGGAATTTCTCGTTTGCATTTCTTTTCTTTGCTTAGCTTTTTAGTCATTATTGTCATATATTGCTTCTTTCCTTTGAGAAATTTGGGATGGCAGTTTCTTGTTCTTTACTTTCTTTGAATCTAATGTTTTGCCATGATATTGCATTCTATGTCTTGGCTTTTTCAGTGCTATTCCTTTGCTTTGCCACCTAGTTTTTGTTGCTTTTTTTCCCCTTTCCATTTTCCTTTTCTTTACAGCCCCATTTAACTATGCTTTATTGTTATTTTTTTTCCTTTTTGTTTCTTCTTTTCCATTCCTGCTTTTTTTCAAATCAGATTTTAAGGCATTACTTTGAATTTCTCTACTTTAATACATTATATTTTTTCTCTTCCTTTCCTTGTTGGACCCCTACCTCGTCCAAATGGCTGCTTCCTTCCACTTACCTTGCATTTCCTTACCTGACGTTAGCTCTCTGGTTCTTCATTCCCACATCCTGGGTGTCCTTACCTCTTTGCCCGACGAGGACTTCAGGCTTTTCGACTGGTTCCTTTTCTTTCTGTGTATTGTCTCTTTTTCCACTGGGTCCCATTGGTTTGCTTTCCTTTGTTCACTTGGTTTTGCTTTCTCTACTGCTCCTTTGGCTTTGCTCTCCATTGTTAATTTCATGTTTGTTTGGTTTTTTTGGTTTGCTTTCCTTTTTGTTGTTCATTCTGTTCCTTGGCTCTTGGTTTTCTGGCATTGTTTTGCTTTGTCCTACTTTCTATTTTGCTTCTTGTCTTTCATTCTGTTTTTTTTTTTTTTTTTTTTTTTTCCCAGGTTCTCCCCTTAGGTTTTGCTAGCTTTTATATTGTCTCTCTGTGTTGCTTTGAATTTTTTGCTTTGCCATATATTTGCAGTCCACCCCTTTGCTCTTTGTTTGTCCTTTTCTCCCCGGTTTACTTGGCTGTTTTCCTTTTCCTTTTTCGCTTTTGTTTCCTGCTCGGTTGGCTTTGCTTTCTACTGCTGATTTTTCTTTTTGATTGGTTCCTTTTCTTTCCAGACCATGCCTTTGCATTATTTTCATCGGTTCTAAAAGTTTGTCTCCTCTTTTCTCCTCTTTTTCTTTGGCTTTCATTACATTCCTCCTTCTTGCACTTACCTTGCTTTTACTTACCTGATGTTAGCCTTCTGGATTGTTCATTCCTACATCCTGGCTGTCCTAGCCTCTGTCCTTGTTGTGGACTGGAGGCTTTTCCTCGGGTGCCTGGCAGCATCCATGCCCGGTAGCTACCCTGACCTCCTCCTCGGCATGACCGCGAGCGCTTTCCCTTCCTCCAGAGAGATGTTTTGTCCTGCTTGCAGCCGCGGACTCCTCCACGGGCGCCAGCTGAGGAAGTGCATCTCTGCTGGAGGTCGCAGCATGCCCAGTAGCTACCCTTTCCTCCTCCCAGGCACAGATGGTGAGCTTTTGGCTGCACAGCAGGCTCTTGTCACCTTTGCTTTGCCGTCTCATTGAATCCCATTTCTTTGTTCTGTTGGTTGTTTCTGTTTCTTTCTGTGTATTGTCTCTTTTTCCACTGGGTCCCATTGGTTTGCTTTCCTTTGTTCACTTGGTTTTGCTTTCTCTACTGCTCCTTTGGCTTTGCTCTCCATTGTTAATTTGATGTTTGTTTGGTTTTTTTGGTTTGCTTTCCTTTTTGTTGTTCATTCTGTTCCACTGGGTCCCATTGGTTTGCTTTCCTTTGTTCACTTGGTTTTGCTTTCTCTACTGCTCCTTTGGCTTTGCTCTCCATTGTTAATTTGATGTTTGTTTGGTTTTTTTGGTTTGCTTTCCTTTTTGTTGTTCATTCTGTTCCACTGGGTCCCATTGGTTTGCTTTCCTTTGTTCACTTGGTTTTGCTTTCTCTACTGCTCCTTTGGCTTTGCTCTCCATTGTTAATTTGATGTTTGTTTGGTTTTTTTGGTTTGCTTTCCTTTTTGTTGTTCATTCTGTTCCACTGGGTCCCATTGGTTTGCTTTCCTTTGTTCACTTGGTTTTGCTTTCTCTACTGCTCCTTTGGCTTTGCTCTCCATTGTTAATTTGATGTTTGTTTGGTTTTTTTGGTTTGCTTTCCTTTTTGTTGTTTATTCTGTTCCTTGGCTCTTGGTTTTCTGGCATTGTTTTGCTTTGTCCTACTTTCTATTTTGCTTCTTGTCTTTCATTCTGGCTGGTTTTGTTTGTTTTGGTTTGTTTTTTCCATGTTCTCCCTTTAGGTTTTGCTAGCTTTTATATTGTCTCACTGTGTTGTTTTGAATTTTTTGCTTTGCCATATATTTGCAGTCCACCCCTTTGCTCTTTGTTTGTCCTTTTCTCCCCGGTTTACTTGGCTGTTTTCCTTTTCCTTTTTCGCTTTTGTTTCCTGCTCGGTTGGCTTTGCTTTCTACTGCTGATTTTTCTTTTTGATTGGTTCCTTTTCTTTCCAGACCATGCCTTTGCATTATTTTCATCGGTTCTAAAAGTTTGTCTCCTCTTTTCTCCTCTTTTTCTTTGGCTTTCATTACATTCCTCCTTCTTGCACTTACCTTGCTTTTACTTACCTGATGTTAGCCTTCTGGATTGTTCATTCCTACATCCTGGCTGTCCTAGCCTCTGTCCTTGTTGTGGACTGGAGGCTTTTCCTCGGGTGCCTGGCAGCATCCATGCCCGGTAGCTACCCTGACCTCCTCCTCGGCATGACCGCGAGCGCTTTCCCTTCCTCCAGAGAGATGTTTTGTCCTGCTTGCAGCCGCGGACTCCTCCACGGGCGCCAGCTGAGGAAGTGCATCTCTGCTGGAGGTCGCAGCATGCCCAGTAGCTACCCTTTCCTCCTCCCAGGCACGGATGGTGAGCTTTTGGCTGCACGGCAGGCTCTTGTCACCTTTGCTTTGCCGTCTCATTGAATCCCATTTCTTTGTTCTGTTGGTTGTTTCTGTTTCTTTCTGTGTATTGTCTCTTTTTCCACTGGGTCCCATTGGTTTGCTTTCCTTTGTTCCCTTCGTTTTGCTTTCTCTACTGCTCTTTTGGCTTTGCTCTCCATTGTTAATTTGATGTTTGTTTGGTTTTTTTGGTTTGCTTTCCTTTTTGTTGTTCATTCTGTTCCACTGGGTCCCATTGGTTTGCTTTCCTTTGTTCACTTGGTTTTGCTTTCTCTACTGCTCCTTTGGCTTTGCTCTCCATTGTTAATTTGATGTTTGTTTGGTTTTTTTGGTTTGCTTTCCTTTTTGTTGTTCATTCTGTTCCACTGGGTCCCATTGGTTTGCTTTCCTTTGTTCACTTGGTTTTGCTTTCTCTACTGCTCCTTTGGCTTTGCTCTCCATTGTTAATTTGATGTTTGTTTGGTTTTTTTGGTTTGCTTTCCTTTTTCTTGTTTATTCTGTTCCTTGGCTCTTGGTTTTCTGGCATTGTTTTGCTTTGTCCTACTTTCTATTTTGCTTCTTGTCTTTCATTCTGGCTGGTTTTGTTTGTTTTTTTTTTCCATGTTCTCCCTTTAGGTTTTGCTAGCTTTTATATTGTCTCACTGTGTTGTTTTGAATTTTTTGCTTTGCCATATATTTGCAGTCCACCCCTTTGCTCTTTGTTTGTCCTTTTCTCCCCGGTTTACTTGGCTCTTTTCCTTTTCCTTTTTCGCTTTTGTTTCCTGCTCGGTTGGCTTTGCTTTCTACTGCTGATTTTTCTTTTTGATTGGTTCTTTTTCTTTCCAGACCATGCCTTTGCATTATTTTCATCGGTTCTAAAAGTTTGTCTCCTCTTTTCTCCTCTTTTTCTTTGGCTTTCATTACATTCCTCCTTCTTGCACTTACCTTGCTTTTACTTACCTGATGTTAGCCTTCTGGATTGTTCATTCCTACATCCTGGCTGTCCTAGCCTCTGTCCTTGTTGTGGACTGGAGGCTTTTCCTCGGGTGCCTGGCAGCATCCATGCCCGGTAGCTACCCTGATCTCCTCCTCGGCATGACCGCGAGCGCTTTCCCTTCCTCCAGAGAGATGTTTTGTCCTGCTTGCAGCCGCGGACTCCTCCACGGGCGCCAGCTGAGGAAGTGCATCTCTGCTGGAGGTCGCAGCATGCCCAGTAGCTACCCTTTCCTCCTCCCAGGCACGGATGGTGAGCTTTTGGCTGCACCGCAGGCTCTTGTCACCTTTGCTTTGCCGTCTCATTGAATCCCATTTCTTTGTTCTGTTGGTTGTTTCTGTTTCTGTGTATTGTCTCTTTTTCCACTGGGTCCCATTGGTTTGCTTTCCTTTGTTCACTTGGTTTTGCTTTCTCTACTGCTCCTTTGGCTTTGCTCTCCATTGTTAATTTGATGTTTGTTTGGTTTTTTTGGTTTGCTTTCCTTTTTGTTGTTCATTCTGTTCCACTGGGTCCCATTGGTTTGCTTTCCTTTGTTCACTTGGTTTTGCTTTCTCTACTGCTCCTTTGGCTTTGCTCTCCATTGTTAATTTCATGTTTGTTTGGTTTTTTTGGTTTGCTTTCCTTTTTCTTGTTTATTCTGTTCCTTGGCTCTTGGTTTTCTGGCATTGTTTTGCTTTGTCCTACTTTCTATTTTGCTTCTTGTCTTTCATTCTGGCTGGTTTTGTTTGTTTTTTTTTTTCCATGATCTCCCTTTAGGTTTTGCTAGCTTTTATATTGTCTCACTGTGTTGTTTTGAATTTTTTGCTTTGCCATATATTTGCAGTCCACCCCTTTGCTCTTTGTTTGTCCTTTTCTCCCCGGTTTACTTGGCTCTTTTCCTTTTCCTTTTTCGCTTTTGTTTCCTGCTCGGTTGGCTTTGCTTTCTACTGCTGATTTTTCTTTTTGATTGGTTCTTTTTCTTTCCAGACCATGCCTTTGCATTATTTTCATCGGTTCTAAAAGTTTGTCTCCTCTTTTCTCCTCTTTTTCTTTGGCTTTCATTACATTCCTCCTTCTTGCACTTACCTTGCTTTTACTTACCTGATGTTAGCCTTCTGGATTGTTCATTCCTACATCCTGGCTGTCCTAGCCTCTGTCCTTGTTGTGGACTGGAGGCTTTTCCTCGGGTGCCTGGCAGCATCCATGCCCGGTAGCTACCCTGACCTCCTCCTCGGCATGACCGCGAGCGCTTTCCCTTCCTCCAGAGAGATGTTTTGTCCTGCTTGCAGCCGCGGACTCCTCCACGGGCGCCAGCTGAGGAAGTGCATCTCTGCTGGAGGTCGCAGCATGCCCAGTAGCTACCCTTTCCTCCTCCCAGGCACGGATGGTGAGCTTTTGGCTGCACCACAGGCTCTTGTCACCTTTGCTTTGCCGTCTCATTGAATCCCATTTCTTTGTTCTGTTGGTTGTTTCTGTTTCTTTCTGTGTATTGTCTCTTTTTCCACTGGGTCCCATTGGTTTGCTTTCCTTTGTTCACTTGGTTTTGCTTTCTCTACTGCTCCTTTGGCTTTGCTCTCCATTGTTAATTTGATGTTTGTTTGGTTTTTTTGGTTTGCTTTCCTTTTTGTTGTTCACTCTGTTCCACTGGGTCCCATTGGTTTGCTTTCCTTTGTTCACTTGGTTTTGCTTTCTCTACTGCTCCTTTGGCTTTGCTCTCCATTGTTAATTTGATGTTTGTTTGGTTTTTTTGGTTTGCTTTCCTTTTTGTTGTTCATTCTGTTCCACTGGGTCCCATTGGTTTGCTTTCCTTTGTTCACTTGGTTTTGCTTTCTCTACTGCTCCTTTGGCTTTGCTCTCCATTGTTAATTTGATGTTTGTTTGGTTTTTTTGGTTTGCTTTCCTTTTTCTTGTTCATTCTGTTCCACTGGGTCCCATTGGTTTGCTTTCCTTTGTTCACTTGGTTTTGCTTTCTCTACTGCTCCTTTGGCTTTGCTCTCCATTGTTAATTTCATGTTTGTTTGGTTTTTTTGGTTTGCTTTCCTTTTTGTTGTTTATTCTGTTCCTTGGCTCTTGGTTTTCTGGCATTGTTTTGCTTTGTCCTACTTTCTATTTTGCTTCTTGTCTTTCATTCTAGATTGTTTTGTTTGTTTTGGTTTGTTTTTTCCATGTTCCACCCTTAGGTTTTGCTAGCTTTTATATTGTCTCACTGTGTTGCTTTGAATTTTTTGCTTTGCCATATATTTGCAGTCCACCCCTTTGCTCTTTGTTTGTCCTTTTCTCCCCGGTTTACTTGGCTCTTTTCCTTTTCCTTTTGGCTTTTGTTTCCTGCTCGGTTGGCTTTGCTTTCTACTGCTGATTTTTCTTTTTGATTGGTTCCTTTTCTTTCCAGACCATGCCTTTGCATTATTTTCATCGGTTCTAAAAGTTTGTCTCCGCTTTTCTCCTCTTTTTCTTTGGCTTTCATTACATTCCTCCTTCTTCCACTTACCTTGCTTTTACTTACCTGATGTTAGCCTTCTGGATTGTTCATTCCTACATCCTGGCTGTCCTAGCCTCTGTCCTTGTTGTGGACTGGAGGCTTTTCCTCGGGTGCCTGGCAGCATCCATGCCCGGTAGCTACCCTGACCTCCTCCTCGGCATGACCGCGAGCGCTTTCCCTTCCTCCAGAGAGATGTTTTGTCCTGCTTGCAGCCGCGGACTCCTCCACGGGCGCCAGCTGAGGAAGTGCATCTCTGCTGGAGGTCGCAGCATGCCCAGTAGCTACCCTTTCCTCCTCCCAGGCACGGATGGTGAGCTTTTGGCTGCACGGCAGGCTCTTGTCACCTTTGCTTTGCTGTCTAATTGAATCCCATTTCTTTGTTCTGTTGGTTGTTTCTGTTTCTGTGTATTGTCTCTTTTTCCACTGGGTCCCATTGGTTTGCTTTCCTTTGTTCCCTTCGTTTTGCTTTCTCTACTGCTCCTTTGGCTTTGCTCTCCATTGTTAATTTGATGTTTGTTTGGTTTTTTTGGTTTGCTTTCCTTTTTGTTGTTCATTCTGTTCCACTGGGTCCCATTGGTTTGCTTTCCTTTGTTCACTTGGTTTTGCTTTCTCTACTGCTCCTTTGGCTTTGCTCTCCATTGTTAATTTGATGTTTGTTTGGTTTTTTTGGTTTGCTTTCCTTTTTCTTGTTCATTCTGTTCCACTGGGTCCCATTGGTTTGCTTTCCTTTGTTCACTTGGTTTTGCTTTCTCTACTGCTCCTTTGGCTTTGCTCTCCATTGTTAATTTGATGTTTGTTTGGTTTTTTTGGTTTGCTTTCCTTTTTGTTGTTTATTCTGTTCCTTGGCTCTTGGTTTTCTGGCATTGTTTTGCTTTGTCCTACTTTCTATTTTGCTTCTTGTCTTTCATTCTGGCTGGTTTTGTTTGTTTTTTTTTTCCATGTTCTCCCTTTAGGTTTTGCTAGCTTTTATATTGTCTCACTGTGTTGTTTTGAATTTTTTGCTTTGCCATATATTTGCAGTCCACCCCTTTGCTCTTTGTTTGTCCTTTTCTCCCCGGTTTACTTGGCTGTTTTCCTTTTCCTTTTCCTTTTGGCTTTTGTTTCCTGCTCGGTTGGCTTTGCTTTCTACTGCTGATTTTTCTTTTTGGTTGGTTCTTTTTCTTTCCAGACCATGCCTTTGCATTATTTTCATCGGTTCTAAAAGTTTGTCTCCTCTTTTCTCCTCTTTTTCTTTGGCTTTCATTACATTCCTCCTTCTTCCACTTACCTTGCTTTTACTTACCTGATGTTAGCCTTCTGGATTGTTCATTCCTACATCCTGGCTGTCCTAGCCTCTGTCCTTGTTGTGGACTGGAGGCTTTTCCTCGGGTGCCTGGCAGCATCCATGCCCGGTAGCTACCCTGACCTCCTCCTCGGCATGACCGCGAGCGCTTTCCCTTCCTCCAGAGAGATGTTTTGTCCTGCTTGCAGCCGCGGACTCCTCCACGGGCGCCAGCTGAGGAAGTGCATCTCTGCTGGAGGTCGCAGCATGCCCAGTAGCTACCCTTTCCTCCTCCCAGGCACGGATGGTGAGCTTTTGGCTGCACCGCAGGCTCTTGTCACCTTTGCTTTGCCGTCTCATTGAATCCCATTTCTTTGTTCTGTTGGTTGTTTCTGTTTCTGTGTATTGTCTCTTTTTCCACTGGGTCCCATTGGTTTGCTTTCCTTTGTTCCCTTCGTTTTGCTTTCTCTACTGCTCCTTTGGCTTTGCTCTCCATTGTTAATTTGATGTTTGTTTGGTTTTTTTGGTTTGCTTTCCTTTTTGTTGTTCATTCTGTTCCACTGGGTCCCATTGGTTTGCTTTCCTTTGTTCACTTGGTTTTGCTTTCTCTACTGCTCCTTTGGCTTTGCTCTCCATTGTTAATTTGATGTTTGTTTGGTTTTTTTGGTTTGCTTTCCTTTTTGTTGTTTATTCTGTTCCTTGGCTCTTGGTTTTCTGGCATTGTTTTGCTTTGTCCTACTTTCTATTTTGCTTCTTGTCTTTCATTCTGGCTGGTTTTGTTTGTTTTTTTTTTTCCATGATCTCCCTTTAGGTTTTGCTAGCTTTTATATTGTCTCACTGTGTTGCTTTGAATTTTTTGCTTTGCCATATATTTGCAGTCCACCCCTTTGCTCTTTGTTTGTCCTTTTCTCCCCGGTTTACTTGGCTCTTTTCCTTTTCCTTTTGGCTTTTGTTTCCTGCTCGGTTGGCTTTGCTTTCTACTGCTGATTTTTCTTTTTGGTTGGTTCTTTTTCTTTCCAGACCATGCCTTTGCATTATTTTCATCGGTTCTAAAAGTTTGTCTCCGCTTTTCTCCTCTTTTTCTTTGGCTTTCATTACATTCCTCCTTCTTGCACTTACCTTGCTTTTACTTACCTGATGTTAGCCTTCTGGATTGTTCATTCCTACATCCTGGCTGTCCTAGCCTCTGTCCTTGTTGTGGACTGGAGGCTTTTCCTCGGGTGCCTGGCAGCATCCATGCCCGGTAGCTACCCTGACCTCCTCCTCGGCATGACCGCGAGCGCTTTCCCTTCCTCCAGAGAGATGTTTTGTCCTGCTTGCAGCCGCGGACTCCTCCACGGGCGCCAGCTGAGGAAGTGCATCTCTGCTGGAGGTCGCAGCATGCCCAGTAGCTACCCTTTCCTCCTCCCAGGCACGGATGGTGAGCTTTTGGCTGCACCGCAGGCTCTTGTCACCTTTGCTTTGCCGTCTCATTGAATCCCATTTCTTTGTTCTGTTGGTTGTTTCTGTTTCTTTCTGTGTATTGTCTCTTTTTCCACTGGGTCCCATTGGTTTGCTTTCCTTTGTTCCCTTCGTTTTGCTTTCTCTACTGCTCCTTTGGCTTTGCTCTCCATTGTTAATTTGATGTTTGTTTGGTTTTTTTGGTTTGCTTTCCTTTTTGTTGTTCACTCTGTTCCACTGGGTCCCATTGGTTTGCTTTCCTTTGTTCACTTGGTTTTGCTTTCTCTACTGCTCCTTTGGCTTTGCTCTCCATTGTTAATTTGATGTTTGTTTGGTTTTTTTGGTTTGCTTTCCTTTTTCTTGTTCATTCTGTTCCACTGGGTCCCATTGGTTTGCTTTCCTTTGTTCACTTGGTTTTGCTTTCTCTACTGCTCCTTTGGCTTTGCTCTCCATTGTTAATTTGATGTTTGTTTGGTTTTTTTGGTTTGCTTTCCTTTTTCTTGTTCATTCTGTTCCACTGGGTCCCATTGGTTTGCTTTCCTTTGTTCACTTGGTTTTGCTTTCTCTACTGCTCCTTTGGCTTTGCTCTCCATTGTTAATTTGATGTTTGTTTGGTTTTTTTGGTTTGCTTTCCTTTTTGTTGTTCATTCTGTTCCTTGGCTCTTGGTTTTCTGGCATTGTTTTGCTTTGTCCTACTTTCTATTTTGCTTCTTGTCTTTCATTCTAGTTTGTTTTGTTTGTTTTGTTTTTTTTTTTCCATGTTCCACCCTTAGGTTTTGCTAGCTTTTATATTGTCTCACTGTGTTGTTTTGAATTTTTTGCTTTGCCATATATTTGCAGTCCACCCCTTTGCTCTTTGTTTGTCCTTTTCTCCCCGGTTTACTTGGCTCTTTTCCTTTTCCTTTTGGCTTTTGTTTCCTGCTCGGTTGGCTTTGCTTTCTACTGCTGATTTTTCTTTTTGATTGGTTCTTTTTCTTTCCAGACCATGCCTTTGCATTATTTTCATCGGTTCTAAAAGTTTGTCTCCGCTTTTCTCCTCTTTTTCTTTGGCTTTCATTACATTCCTCCTTCTTGCACTTACCTTGCTTTTACTTACCTGATGTTAGCCTTCTGGATTGTTCATTCCTACATCCTGGCTGTCCTAGCCTCTGTCCTTGTTGTGGACTGGAGGCTTTTCCTCGGGTGCCTGGCAGCATCCATGCCCGGTAGCTACCCTGACCTCCTCCTCGGCATGACCGCGAGCGCTTTCCCTTCCTCCAGAGAGATGTTTTGTCCTGCTTGCAGCCGCGGACTCCTCCACGGGCGCCAGCTGAGGAAGTGCATCTCTGCTGGAGGTCGCAGCATGCCCAGTAGCTACCCTTTCCTCCTCCCAGGCACGGATGGTGAGCTTTTGGCTGCACGGCAGGCTCTTGTCACCTTTGCTTTGCCGTCTCATTGAATCCCATTTCTTTGTTCTGTTGGTTGTTTCTGTTTCTTTCTGTGTATTGTCTCTTTTTCCACTGGGTCCCATTGGTTTGCTTTCCTTTGTTCCCTTCGTTTTGCTTTCTCTACTGCTCTTTTGGCTTTGCTCTCCATTGCTAATTTGATGTTTGTTTGGTTTTTTTGGTTTGCTTTCCTTTTTGTTGTTCATTCTGTTCCACTGGGTCCCATTGCTTTCCTTTGTTCACTTGGTTTTGCTTTCTCTACTGCTCCTTTGGCTTTGCTCTCCATTGTTAATTTCATGTTTGTTTGGTTTTTTTGGTTTGCTTTCCTTTTTCTTGTTCATTCTGTTCCACTGGGTCCCATTGGTTTGCTTTCCTTTGTTCACTTGGTTTTGCTTTCTCTACTGCTCCTTTGGCTTTGCTCTCCATTGTTAATTTCATGTTTGTTTGGTTTTTTTGGTTTGCTTTCCTTTTTCTTGTTCATTCTGTTCCACTGGGTCCCATTGGTTTGCTTTCCTTTGTTCACTTGGTTTTGCTTTCTCTACTGCTCCTTTGGCTTTGCTCTCCATTGTTAATTTGATGTTTGTTTGGTTTTTTTGGTTTGCTTTCCTTTTTGTTGTTCATTCTGTTCCTTGGCTCTTGGTTTTCTGGCATTGTTTTGCTTTGTCCTACTTTCTATTTTGCTTCTTGTCTTTCATTCTAGTTTGTTTGGTTCTTTTTTTTTTTTTTTTTTTTTTTCCATGTTCCACCCTTAGGTTTTGCTAGCTTTTATATTGTCTCACTGTGTTGCTTTGAATTTTTTGCTTTGCCATATATTTGCAGTCCACCCCTTTGCTCTTTGTTTGTCCTTTTCTCCCCGGTTTACTTGGCTCTTTTCCTTTTCCTTTTGGCTTTTGTTTCCTGCTCGGTTGGCTTTGCTTTCTACTGCTGATTTTTCTTTTTGATTGGTTCTTTTTCTTTCCAGACCATGCCTTTGCATTATTTTCATCGGTTCTAAAAGTTTGTCTCCGCTTTTCTCCTCTTTTTCTTTGGCTTTCATTACATTCCTCCTTCTTCCACTTACCTTGCTTTTACTTACCTGATGTTAGCCTTCTGGATTGTTCATTCCTACATTCTGGCTGTCCTAGCCTCTGTCCTTGTTGTGGACTGGAGGCTTTTCCTCGGGTGCCTGGCAGCATCCATGCCCGGTAGCTACCCTGACCTCCTCCTCGGCATGACCGCGAGCGCTTTCCCTTCCTCCAGAGAGATGTTTTGTCCTGCTTGCAGCCGCGGACTCCTCCACGGGCGCCAGCTGAGGAAGTGCATCTCTGCTGGAGGTCGCAGCATGCCCAGTAGCTACCCTTTCCTCCTCCCAGGCACGGATGGTGAGCTTTTGGCTGCACGGCAGGCTCTTGTCACCTTTGCTTTGCCGTCTCATTGAATCCCATTTCTTTGTTCTGTTGGTTGTTTCTGTTTCTTTCTGTGTATTGTCTCTTTTTCCACTGGGTCCCATTGGTTTGCTTTCCTTTGTTCCCTTCGTTTTGCTTTCTCTACTGCTCCTTTGGCTTTGCTCTCCATTGTTAATTTGATGTTTGTTTGGTTTTTTTGGTTTGCTTTCCTTTTTGTTGTTCATTCTGTTCCACTGGGTCCCATTGGTTTGCTTTCCTTTGTTCACTTGGTTTTGCTTTCTCTACTGCTCCTTTGGCTTTGCTCTCCATTGTTAATTTGATGTTTGTTTGGTTTTTTTGGTTTGCTTTCCTTTTTGTTGTTCATTCTGTTCCACTGGGTCCCATTGGTTTGCTTTCCTTTGTTCACTTGGTTTTGCTTTCTCTACTGCTCCTTTGGCTTTGCTCTCCATTGTTAATTTCATGTTTGTTTGGTTTTTTTGGTTTGCTTTCCTTTTTGTTGTTCATTCTGTTCCTTGGCTCTTGGTTTTCTGGCATTGTTTTGCTTTGTCCTACTTTCTATTTTGCTTCTTGTCTTTCATTCTAGTTTGTTTGGTTCTTTTTTTTTTTTTGGTTTTTTTTTTCCATGTTCCACCCTTAGGTTTTGCTAGCTTTTATATTGTCTCACTGTGTTGCTTTGAATTTTTTGCTTTGCCATATATTTGCAGTCCACCCCTTTGCTCTTTGTTTGTCCTTTTCTCCCCGGTTTACTTGGCTCTTTTCCTTTTCCTTTTGGCTTTTGTTTCCTGCTCGGTTGGCTTTGCTTTCTACTGCTGATTTTTCTTTTTGGTTGGTTCTTTTTCTTTCCAGACCATGCCTTTGCATTATTTTCATCGGTTTCAAAGGTTGTCTCCGCTTTTCTCCTCTTTTTCTTTGGCTTTCATTACATTCCTCCTTCTTCCACTTACCTTGCTTTTACTTACCTGATGTTAGCCTTCTGGATTGTTTATTCCTACATCCTGGCTGTCCTAGCCTCTGTCCTTGTTGTGGACTGGAGGCTTTTCCTCGGGTGCCTGGCAGCATCCATGCCCGGTAGCTACCCTGACCTCCTCCTCGGCATGACCGCGAGCGCTTTCCCTTCCTCCAGAGAGATGTTTTGTCCTGCTTGCAGCCGCGGACTCCTCCACGGGCGCCAGCTGAGGAAGTGCATCTCTGCTGGAGGTCGCAGCATGCCCAGTAGCTACCCTTTCCTCCTCCCAGGCACGGATGGTGAGCTTTTGGCTGCACGGCAGGCTCTTGTCACCTTTGCTTTGCCGTCTCATTGAATCCCATTTCTTTGTTCTGTTGGTTGTTTCTGTTTCTTTCTGTGTATTGTCTCTTTTTCCACTGGGTCCCATTGGTTTGCTTTCCTTTGTTCACTTGGTTTTGCTTTCTCTACTGCTCCTTTGGCTTTGCTCTCCATTGTTAATTTCATGTTTGTTTGGTTTTTTTGGTTTGCTTTCCTTTTTGTTGTTCATTCTGTTCCACTGGGTCCCATTGGTTTGCTTTCCTTTGTTCACTTGGTTTTGCTTTCTCTACTGCTCCTTTGGCTTTGCTCTCCATTGTTAATTTGATGTTTGTTTGGTTTTTTTGGTTTGCTTTCCTTTTTCTTGTTTATTCTGTTCCTTGGCTCTTGGTTTTCTGGCATTGTTTTGCTTTGTCCTACTTTGTATTTAGCTTCTTTTCTTTCATTCTAGTTTGTTTTGTTTGTTTTTTTTTTTTTTTTTTTCCATGTTCCACCCTTATTTTGCTTCTTGTCTTTCATTCTAGATTGTTTTGTTTGTTTTTGTTTTTTTTTCCATGTTCCACCCTTAGGTTTTGCTAGCTTTTATATTGTCTCACTGTGTTGCTTTGAATTTTTTGCTTTGCCATATATTTGCAGTCCACCCCTTTGCTCTTTGTTTGTCCTTTTCTCCCCGGTTTACTTGGCTCTTTTCCTTTTCCTTTTGGCTTTTGTTTCCTGCTCGGTTGGCTTTGCTTTCTACTGCTGATTTTTCTTTTTGGTTGGTTCTTTTTCTTTCCAGACCATGCCTTTGCATTATTTTCATCAGTTCTAAATGTTTGTCTCCGCTTTTCTCCTCTTTTTCTTTGGCTTTCATTACATTCCTCCTTCTTCCACTTACCTTGCTTTTACTTACCTGATGTTAGCCTTCTGGATTGTTCATTCCTACATCCTGGCTGTCCTAGCCTCTGTCCTTGTTGTGGACTGGAGGCTTTTCCTCGGGTGCCTGGCAGCATCCATGCCCGGTAGCTACCCTGACCTCCTCCCAGGCACGGTTGATGAGCTTTTGGCTGCACCACAGGCTCTTGTCACCTTTGCTTTGCTGTCTCATTGAATCCCATTTCTTTGTTCTGTTGGTTGTTTCTGTTTCTGTGTATTGTCTCTTTTTCCACTGGGTCCCATTGGTTTGCTTTCCTTTGTTCACTTGGTTTTGCTTTCTCTACTGCTCCTTTGGCTTTGCTCTCCATTGTTAATTTGATGTTTGTTTGGTTTTTTTGGTTTGCTTTCCTTTTTCTTGTTCATTCTGTTCCACTGGGTCCCATTGGTTTGCTTTCCTTTGTTCACTTGGTTTTGCTTTCTCTACTGCTCCTTTGGCTTTGCTCTCCATTGTTAATTTGATGTTTGTTTGGTTTTTTTGGTTTGCTTTCCTTTTTCTTGTTCATTCTGTTTCTTGGCTCTTGGTTTTCTGGCATTGTTTTGCTTTGTCCTACTTTCTATTTTGCTTCTTGTCTTTCATTCTAGTTTGTTTGATTCTTTTTTTTTTTTTTTTTTTTTTTCCATGTTCCACCCTTATTTTGCTTCTTGTCTTTCATTCTAGATTGTTTTGTTTGTTTTGGTTTTTTTTTTCCACGTTCCACCCTTAGGTTTTGCTAGCTTTCATATTGTCTCACTGTGTTGCTTTGAATTTTTTGCTTTGCCATATATTTGCAGTCCACCCCTTTGCTCTTTGTTTGTCCTTTTCTCCCCGGTTTACTTGGCTC